ACTACCCACAATCCACCTCTCTCTCAGACTAAACCCTGCTGAACGTCACACACTACCCACAATCCTCCTCTCTCTCAGACTAAACCCTGCTGAACGTCACACACTACCCACAATCCTCCTCTCTCTCTCTCTGCGGTGTGTGTGTCGAGAGCGCTTGTGTGAGAGTCGGCCAGAATCAGACAGAAAGAGTCTGTGTTTGTGTGTTAGGACTCAACATTATGCAATGTGGTGTGTGTGTGTGTGCGTGTGCGCGCGCCTGAGAGTGTCTGGGTTTGTTTAGTTGTTAACACACGCCAGCGTTCATGCACACAGCTCAGAGACCCTCAGAATGCAAAGGTGGGCCAGAAGTTGACTGAAGTTGGCAAAGGAGAGAATATTTGGGGTTTGACGGCGTTCATCAAGCAACATCAGTCTGTGGAGATTTGCTGAAATATCTGCTCGTTCAGTTTTCAGAGCTAGTGATCGTCGATGTTTTGCTTTTAGAATTGCGCTTTTGATCTACGTCAGGGATGTCGAACTCAGTTCTTGGAGGGCCGCAGCCCTGCACAGTTTAGTTCCAACCCTGCTCCAACACACTAACCTGTAGGTTTCAAACAAGCCTGAAGGACTCAATGAGTTTGATCAGGTGTGTTTAATTAGGGTTGGAACTAAACTGTGCAGAGCTGCGGAACTGAGTTTGACATCCCTGATCTATGTTAAGTGCCCAATGATCTCTGCCAGACGGGCTGCTCTGAGTATTTCAGAAACTGCTGATCTACTGGGGTTTTCACGCACAAACATCTCTAGGGTTTACAGAGAATGCTCCAACAAAGAGGAAATATCCAGTGAGCGGCAGTTCTGTGGGCGCAAATGCCTTGTTGATGAGGTCAGAGGAGAATGGCCAGACTGGTTCCAGCTGATAGAAAGGCAGCAGCAACTCAAATAAGCACTCGCTACAACCGAGCTCTGCAGAAGAGCATCTCTGAACACACAACACGTCCAACCTTGAGGCGGATGGGCTACAGCAGCAGAAGACCACACCGGGTGCCGCTACTGTCAGCTAAGAACAGGAAACTGAGGCTACAATTCACACAGACTCACCAAAACTGGACAATAGAAGATTGGAGAAACGTCGCCTGCTCTGATGAGTCTCCATTTCTGCTGACACATTTGGATGGTTTGGTCAGAATTTGGCCTCAACACGATGAAAGCATGGATCCATCCTGCCTTGTATCAACAGTTCAGGCTGGTGGTGGTTGTAATGGTGTGGGGGAGATTTTCTTGGCACACTTTGTTGCCCATTAGTATCAATTGAGCATCAACGCCACAGCCGACCTGAGTATTGCTGCTGACCATGTCCATCCCTTTATGACCTCAGTGTACTTCCAGAAGTATATGCACCGTCAATAAGTGTGAATCATCTCAGACTGGTTTCTTAAACATGATGATGAGTTCACTGTACTCGAATGGCCTCCACAGTCACCAGATCTCAATCCAATAGAGCAGCTTTGGGATGTGGTGGAACGGGAGATTGGCATCATGGATGTGCAGCCGACAAATCTGCGTGATGCTGTCATGTCAATATGGAGCAAAATCTCTGAGGAATCTCTTGTTGAATCTATGCCACTAAGGAACCTGTTTGCCAGCACTCAATTTTAGGGATTTACACCTACCTAACTTTAAATAGTAACAGTTCCTGACTCCAGTAAGCTACAAACGCAAATTATGTATCATTGGAAAGAAGACACTTTGAGCTTTACTGTGGTAATAGGAGAAGTTGTATGTTAAAAAAAATATAAAAAGTTATACATTATGAAGTCATGAGGAAATTAATTTTTAATTTAATTGTGTTTAATTTTAGTTTTCCATATAGAAACACAGCAAAACAGTAATGTAATGTCCTAGAAAAAATATGACTTGAAAGCCAAGTATTTCATATGTTTACATTTTAAATTTGATGAAGATAGCATGCAAAATGAGATTACTGTAAAAGATTTTCTGAGGCTATGTCGATGTCCTTCTCTCCATCATTGTCAGAGGCACTTTCTCAAAAATCATCTTCCCAAGTTAAAACATTTACAGTCGCTGAATGATTTGGTCTACATTCAATGTTTATGTATCTTTGGAAAGAAGACACTCTGGGCTTTATTATCCATCATCTAGAGTTTATAATGCTCAAAATGAAAAAAAAAGTTTTAGATGCTTAAGGCAGTTCTGAAGGCAAACAGAGGTTCCAACGCAGTACTAGTAGGGTGTATCTAATAAAGCGGCCGGTGAGTGTACACTGTATGCTGGAGCAGATTCTCCAACAGCTGACACACACTCATTCTCACAGCGAGAGACTGAGACTAATAAGTGGGCTGTCGGGGTGTTAAACGTTTCTTCATGCTGTCTAAATAAACCGATGCGAGTGATTTGATGAAGACAGTGGCAGCTGGGAGATTTCTCTCTGCGTCTCTTCATGGAGATCAACAGTATTGAGTGTTCCTGCAGAGATCAACATGATTTATCATGAGAAATAGAGTGTGTGTGTGTGCGTGTCTGTGTGTGCTTGTGTGTGTGTGTTTACGCATGTGCATGTTAGTGAGTGTGTTTTACAGTGTATATAGCATATGTGTGAGTGTGTGTGTGTGTGTGTGTGTGTGTGTGTGTATGTTTAAGTGAATTTCTGCATGTGCATGTGTAGGTGTCTGTGAATGTGTGTGTGTGTGTGTGTGTGTGTGTGTTTGTGTCTTTTACTTGTGTGTGCATGTGAATAAATGTGTATGTGTGTGTGTGTGTGTGTGTGTGTGTGTGTGTGTGTGTGTGTGTGTGTGTGTGTGTGTG